TAAAATCTCTAATATTAATGATGCTTACTGTTATTATTATTTAAGATTTATGTGTATATAATTTTACTTTTTATCATAATTTTAATCATTATTATTAATTTTTTAGCTGAATTTAAAATCTATCTATCATATATAATGTCTTCTGCAGGTTTTTGTGTTTTAAACATCTTTACTTAAACAGTTTTAGATTGTTTTACTTCTTTTAAATCTGTTTAAATCCTTTTTTCTTTCTGTTCAGAACCGGGAGGAAAAGTTCTACATAATTATTGTTGTTATTATTATTTACATGGATTTATGGATAAACAATATCCCAGTTCTACCGTATTTGGACAGTTATGGTTAAATGAGAGGCTGTAAACACATATTCATGAACAGAAACCTGCTGTTTAAACACATGAAGCTGCTGAACAGGCGTCAACACGAACTTAGAAAGAGCATAAAATGTTTATTAAACTTTTTTTTTTTTCCAATACAGAATACATGTTTATATGTGGACACAGAACCAGAACCAGAGATTGTCGTCTGCGTGACGTCAACACGACTTCAGACGTTTATTCACAAACAGAACCTTTTTTTTTATTAGTTTTTTTTTTCTCCAACAGATTATCGTCCAGAACCCGTTGGAGGCGGCTGACGTGGCGGCGGACGTTCAGACATGCGTTTCTCTCTCCGGAGCAACTTTAGAAAACAAACAAAACAAAAACAGTTAATTTACATGTAAACAGGTTGAAATGTTCCCGCCGCCGCCGACGTTGGACAGGAGAGAGGAATAAAAAAAAAAAGGCAAAACCATGAGTGTTGTCATGTCAAAACATTTCAGATCAAATGTTCGAGTGATGAGGTAAAAATCTGCCGATTTCATGTCTTCAGTTTGACTTTACAGACATTTCTGTTTTGTTTTTATCTTTAAATGTGTAAAAAAAAACGACCTGATGTGAGATTATTTGACTGGTTTTCATGAGAAGTGCAGGAAGAAGCGTTTCCATGAGTGGGAACAAGACGCAGCATGAAATGGAGAAAAATCAACTTTTCATTACAGGTGAAAAAAAAAAAAACAACCTGAATGATGAAGAACTCGTCGTCTTCTGGAGTTTGTCTGTTTGAAGCACGTCGAGGTTCAGAAACGAGGAGAAATCGTCTCGTTTTGGGCTGAAAATCATCGTTTAATCGACTGAAACAGGGAAATAATCAGCAGCTGTTTGGATGTTGAGTTAATTATTCAGATTTTTTAGAAGTTTTGGGCAGTCGGCTGCTAAATATCTGATCTTTTGGATTAATCGATGGTTTCTAGCTGCACATCTTCACTCAGACCTGAACCGTTTATCGTCGTCTCTTCTCTCCTACTGAAGACAGATTTCGTCCTCGGTTTTGCAGAAACTCTGATCAAACCTGAAGCTGTTCAAACACACTTTTCCCTCCGACTGACTTTTACGAGGTTCCTGGAAAACAATAGATGTTGCTGACAGTCAAATGGACTCGTTTCAGTTATGAACAAACTACATGAATCTCCAACATGTTGGTTTATCGTTTGAGCCTTTAAAGCTGCTGGATTCTCTCATCTGAACATTTTAGAAACTCGTCTCCATCGTAGCAGAGCTGTGATGAACCTCACTGTCGATTAGTTTCTTAATTAATTCCTTGTTTTGTCTGTAAAATGTTAGAAAAAGATGAAAAATGTCCACAATTTAATCAGTTTACCGACAGCAAAGACCAGAAATATTCACGGTTATGAGGCTGGAATCTGAACATTCAGACTCGTGTCTGGAGGAAACAGTCAAACCGATGATCAGGACGTTATCAAGCTGAAGCTTCTGGAGGTTTGTCAGTGCTGGTGAGACGTTAACCAGCATCGTGTCGGCTCTAGAACAACAGATCAACAGAATGATCAATAACAGATCTTTAGATTTATGGACGAGGAAAACGATCACGTGTTGCAGAACGATTTTCAATTTAATAAATCAGCTTCTATCATCTGAAAAGCGGCTTCAATCTGAAGCTCAGGAGTTTGTTTTTGGCACAAAGTCGAGTCACTTCAGGCTCCAGAGGAAACGTTTATCTGCTGCTGGAGGTGGATTTAATTCAGACGAACGTTTCTGGAGATGATTTAACCTTCTGAAGGCGGGTTTGACCCGAGTGTGTTTAAAACGAAAGTGATGCAACTTAAACAGCCAGAAACCGTAAAAACAGAAAAGAATCAGACGCAGAAAAAAAAACTAAACGTCTGATCAGAAACTCGTGACTCGACTCTGAGCGAGAGTCTCGCTGCAGAACTTCTGAGACTTTTGGGCTGAAGTCCAGGCAGCGTTTCCACCGTCGAGGACTTCAGGTTGTTTTCAGGAAACTGTTTGAGCTCCAGAGTTAAAAAACTATCAGCTGTTATTCTAATAGTTTTTTGATCCTACTCATGTCTGAAATCGTCTCTTTTCCTTGTTTTTCTATTTCAGCAAATGTAAACTTTTATTTTATCGACAAATTCAGGATTAAAATCACGTATTTTACGAGTTTCTTTGTTCTTGTTCTGCTGCGTTTCATATTTTTACATCTGAACTGTTTCGTTTTCCTTCAAAGCTGCCTTATTATTTGTTTAAACGGACAAACAGGATTAAAGTGACGCGTGAAGCTGATGGAAACAAAACAAAGAAGGAAGCAGCAGCAGCTCAGGTGGAAAACAGACGGATGGACTGATGTATTAAAAGTGAATAAAAGGTATAAATGTTTACAATATAAAACCAGAACATGATCAAACTTCACACCAGCGTGACTCAAACATCTCCAGAACATTTGTGGGTTTTTTTCTTCTTCTAAAAGGACAAAATAGAACTTTTTTTTTTTCTTTTCCAGCATGCAACACCAGAACAGACACACACTCAGCGCTCAGAACAGACGACTGGAATGCTTCAATTAATTAAAAACACTGAGTGTGTAGAGTAGAGAGCGGCGGGACGGCTCAGGTCGACCCGGTACAGTACAATCAGTCCCACTGGAGCCGCTGGAGCCCACATCAGGAACATAAAGTAAACAAGCATAGAAACAGTCCGTCAGCTTTAGTGTTACAGTCTGTAGTAGAAAAGCCCCCAGAGAGCTGCCTGTGAGGGCAGCAGCTCGTCCTCCTGCCCCTCAGTGTCTGTCCGTGTCTCTGAACCCTCAGAACTCTGAGGCCGTAGTGCCGTAGTCCAGAACAACATGGAAGTGTGTGTGTGAGTGTCTGGACTTCAGTGTTTGGATCAATTAGTGTCATTAACGATCACGATCACCATGTGCTCCTCCTCCAGGTTGCCCACAGTCCTCTTGGCGGCCTGCAGGTACTGCTGGGAGAACTCTCCGGGGGGGAAGGCGTACAGCATCGCCCCCGGACCGCCCTCCTTGGCGGCGGGGAGGCTCACCACCCCGGCCGCCTCTTTGTTCCGCAGGTAGGTGACCAGGTGGCGGAGCAGGCGCACCTGCAGGCCCGGCTCGGGGGCGGGGGCCTGCCGGTCCACGGGGCCCTGCAGCGCCAGCAGGATGGCGAAGCCGTCGGGGCGGCCCAGTTTGATGCGGCGCGACACCTCGTCCAGCCGGGTCTGGTCCATGCGCAGCCGCTGGGCGATCTTCAGCTGGCTGGGCTGGTTCTGGTTCTGCTGACGGAGGCTGTCCTTCATCACGGTGCTGAAGAACGAGGAGCCGCCCTCCAGCAGGTACAGGTCCGTGGGGAAGCTGCTGTTCTTCAGTGCGAAGAAGCCGTGCCACATCTTGGACAGCGACGTCTGGGCGAACTCGGACAGCGAGCCCGGGGACGACGAGGTGTGTGTGTCGGTGTGGATGGCGGGAGAGCCGGCGGCCACCACCTCGCTGCCCCGGTGGTGGTGGTTGTTGAGGTGGTCGCTGGACGACCTCTTGCTGTGGTGGCGGCCGGACGGGGCGTCGTCTTCGTTGGCGGCGGAGTGTCGCCCCCCGCCGCTGTCGGGGGAGTGGTCCCGGGGCTCCGTGGTGGAGTCGGGGGCCCGAACGCGAGCCCGGTCTGGACTCGCGTCCGGAGAAACGGCTCCACCTGGACCCCGGAGCCGCGACCTGCCCCGCTCCTTCTCCCGGTCGTCCGTCTGGCGGTCGGCGGACAGACTTCGGCTGCGGCTCCTCCTGCGGCTCCTCCGCTCCTCGCGCTCCTTCAGCCACCGCTCCCTGCTCCGGCTGCGGCTCCTCGCCGTCCGGCTGCTCCTCCCAAACGCCTCCACGCCGGCCCTCCTCTCCAGGCTGCGGGTGGGGCTGCTGGCGAAGTCTCTCTCCAGCAGGGCCCGCTCCCTCTCCCTCTGGGTGAGGAGGCTGTGGGAGGGCGGCGAGGAGCGGTCCCTGGTTCCCCGCAGCTCCCGCTCCAGGCTGCGATGGCGGCTGTAGGCCTCCCCCAGGAGGTCGTAGTGGGAGGGCAGCGCGACGGGAGGCTGGTACCCCGGAGGGAAGGGCCGAGAGGGGCTCTCCTCCACCTTAGCGAAGTCCACCCTGAGCCGGCGCTCGGGGCCCCCCAGAGGGAAGCCCCTCATCTGGGTGCAGGCGGCCTGAGCGGCGTCCAGACTCTCGTACTGGATGTAGGCGAAGCTGTCCCCCTTCACATAGTCAATGTTCCTGATGCTGCCGAAGCGGTCGAACTCTCGGGCCAGAGCGGCCAGAGAGTTTCCGGGCCCGAGCCCTCCCACCCAGAGCCGGGTGGTGGGGTTGGCCTTCCCATAGCCGATCTTTATGGGGTTGCCGCCGATCAGCCGGCCCTGCATGGCCACCTTGGCCCGGTGGGCCATGTCCAGGTTCTGAAACTTGACAAACGCATAGGCGCCCCCCTGGCCCCGAGCAGGCCGCTTGATCACCACGTCCTCGATGATGCCGTACTTGTCGAAGCCCCTCCTCAGCTCGGCCTCCGTCACGTTGCCGTCCAGATTGCCGATGAACAGGTTGCTGGTCGCCCGCTGGTCGTCCTCCGGCTTTAAGTCCTCCACCACCGGCATGGGGGGGAAGCCGTAGGGCCGCCCCCGCTCGTCCAGCATGCCGTAGTAGTCCAGCAGCCGCTCCCGCTCCCGGCTCAGGGTCAGGGTCTCCAGGGCGTAGTGCCGGGCCCGCAGGTCCCTGATGTTGCTCACCCCCGGCCCGGGCGGCGACAGGGAGCGCTGCCGGTAGGGGTACGGGGCGTGCAGGGGCAGATAGCCGACGTCCGGCGGGGTGACGCTCCGCCTCCTCACGTACATGGGCTCGATCTTGAGCTGCCGGTCGCCGAGCACCAACCGGGAGGACTTGGCGTGCCGGGCCTCCTTGGCGTCCTCCGGGTGCCGAAAATTCACGTAGGCGATCCGGCCGAGCTCCGGAGTGTGCGACAGCTTCACGCTGACGTCCCCGAACTTTTTGAACTCGTGAAACAGCGCGTCCTCCACGTCCTCGTCCGACACCTGCGAGCCCAGGTTGCTGATGAGCAGCGTCTTGTACTCCAGCGTGCCGGGCCGGGCGGCCGGGAGCTCCGCCGCCGTGGTCCGGAGCGGCGGGCGGCCGAGGAGGCTGAGCTCGTGTCGGTGGTGGAGCTCCAAGGCGGCCGCCCGCTCCTCCCTCAGCCGCGGCTTCTCTCGCTCCCTGCTCCGGCTCCGGCGGTGATATCCGCGGCTCTCCGCCAGCAGCAGAGCCAGCGGCGGCGGCGGCAGCTCCTCTCTCCGGGCGCTGTCCCGCTCCCGCTCCCGGACCCGCTTGGTGACGGCCCTGGACGGACTCGTCTCCCTCCCGGCCTGCCTCTTCATTTTCAAAGGATGATGGAGCTCAAACTTTTCGGTGCCTGCGACGGGAATCCGTCCCGGGAGCGGCTTCCAGGAGCGTTAGCGGAAGTTCAGCGGCAGACCTGCGCTGCGGGGAAGACCGGCGAGCCGTCCGGACTCGGAATGTTCGCTCTCAAGCCGAATTAAAAGGCGAAACTCGGTTAAAAACATGTCAGCATCAGAGGAGCTGCACTGACGCCGCCATCTTGGACAATAGGAATGTGCGCTTTCCCAGAGGAGGGCGGGGACGTCATGACGTAGAACGTCGTGACGTAGGACGCAGAGATTTTGGAATAAAGTGAAGTTTTCTGGCATCTGGAGAAAAAATATATTTAAACATCCAAGTGTCTGGAGTCGTTTTGCCTGTTCTTCTGGTTGTTTATTGTCTTATTGTTGTTGTTGTCTCTTAAGGCCCAGATTGTGTGATTTTTGGGGCTGTTCAGTGTTTCCTTGGTGTCATTTTCTCTCTTTTTGTTGTTGTTTACGTCTCTTTGGGGTCATCTTCTGTCTCCATGTTTTTTGTTCCTCTTTGTGGTTGTTTGTGTCTCTCTGGGATCATTTTCTGACATTTTACTGTTAGTTTTTGTGCTTCTTAGTGTCGTCTTGTATATTTTTGTTGTGATTTTCTGTCACTTGTTCCTGTTTTTGTCTCATATTTTGAGTTTTTGTGGCTCTTTTCTTTATTTGGCATCATTTCTGTGTTTTTTTTGTCTGTGCTGTGATTTTTGTGTAAGTTTTGGTTATTTGTGCCTCTTTCAAGTCATTTTCACCTTTTTGCATCGCATATCATGACATGGGACGCTGACATTTTTCCAACCCAAACACTGGTGCATTTTTTTTAAAAAAAGTGAATATTGTGAAAGTTTAATATTTTCCATCAGTTATTGAAGATACTAAATTTTATTTTAACATATTCTAGACTCATTACATGTTGAGTAAAATGTTTATTTTGACAATTACTGCTCCATAATATCAAAAAAAGTATATCTCAAAATATTAAAATTCTATAAATATAGATTCAAACAGTATAAACACTGTGCATCTGTCTCTAGCTCAGTAAATAAAAAAATCTATTGATATGAGGGAAATTCTAACAGTTTAAGCTCCTGAATTTTGGAATTTTTGGGAGCCATAATCATCCAAATTAAATGAAATAGGTCACAACTTAATTAGTTTATTTTTAAATTTAAATTTCAGTAGCTGTATGTTTTTAAGAGAATAAAAGGTTTTAATAGATATCACACAGATAACATTTATTGACTTATAATACAATATTTCAGGCTAACGAGTATCAATTAAGACAATCATCGGACAGAAACACAGAAGGTTTGAGAAACGGCTCTCTGCTGACCTGGAAAAATTATTGTGACTAATTTGGTTTTTGGTGAAGTTTGATTATGAGTGTTTTGTTTTTGTAAATGCAAAAAATGTAAATAAAATAACATTTTATTCTCAACAGGCTTCTTCAACTTTGTACAAACCAAATAAACTTTGGGGGAAAAAAATTAAAATAAAATAAAAATATTGTTAAATGTATGTTTTGTTTTGTTTTTCAAATAAAGAAATGATAATAATATAAAGAAATAAAAGTTTAGGCATTCAAAAGTAACTGGAAGAACACATGAAGGCACATTTTATTAAATATTTATTGTAAACTCTGCTGTGCAGCCATGAGGGGCTTTTTAAATCTCAATTAACTCTTAAGATAAAACAAAAACATTTAATCAAGTCCAATCGTTTGGTTCAGAGCTTCATCCATCGGTTTTCTCTACACAGACGTACATGTGCTCAGATTAAGCTGATTTTATTTACAGCTGAAGGTGTTGAAGCTCTGAGCCGGAAAAACTGAAAAATAAATAAACGTGTGACCGTCCAGATGTCCAGTCTGCTGTTCGTCTCGATGTTAAATGAAGGTTCACGAGAGCGTGTGGGTGGAGTGACGGAGCTGAAATCAAACCAGTCCAGGCGCAGTTTTTCATAATTTAATGAAAAAGTAGAATAGTACAGCTGTAACAAATGACTGGTTCTTACATGAAAAGTCAACAGTTTTCTTTTCCCACGTCGAGTCGGATCGAACGCGACGTCTCGCCGTTTTGAAGAACTCGCCATCTGCTCGCATCGTGAAGCACGTTTCCCCTCCAGCAGCTCAGATTCACCGTCACCAGCACAAAGAACAACAAACGGCTCGCGTCCCGACGTCCAGGAAGCCGCCGCGAGCTTCTCCTCGTCTCTAGTCTAAACTGTTACCGACGGAGGAGGAGGTGGATTCAACACGAACGGGTCAGAACAAACCATAACCAGATATTAGAGGTGAAAGAAGCTTCTCCAAAGAAAAAAACCTTAATAAATATTTAACCGGAACATTTCTAACGTCGCAGACAGATGAAGAGCAAAATGTGCCAGAACTCGTCCGTGTCGGCGAGTTCAGTTCGTGTTTCTGTGCAAAATGATGAAGACGGACGCGCCGGGTTCAACGTTTTCTCACTTTTTTACTATTTTTTTTGTGCAAATTTAAGTACAGATGAAACAATGATGGGCTAAAGTGTGAAATCAGAGGTGGGGTTCTACTGATCCTCGTACGCTCGACCTCGATGAGCTGCATCCAGACCGGGGTGGTATCTACAGGAGGTGGTTTGACCTCCGTCACCTCCAGAACCATCGCCCCGGCTGAGACGAGCTCCTTGTTTTTAGCTAACTGGCTGCTCCGGCTGTCCTCTAAGCTTCTGGTTTAAAGTGAGTTTTTCCTGACTCGGCTTCGTGGGAACGACCCGGTGAACTCGAGGCGGTTTTCCACTGCAGGAGCTCGAAGCGGTTCACGGGAACGACGTCCCAGGATGCACCAGACGGTAGCTACCGGGCAAAACGCGACGACGGAGGTTCGTTTAGCATCAGTGGTGAGTTTGGCACTTTGTTCTGGTCGGGTTCCTGCAGTGGAAAACGGCTCGCGAGAGGTTCATCAGGGGACAAACACGACAGTGAAAAGACACGAGAGCAGCCAGAGAAGGTCGAGTTAGTCGAGTTAAAAGAAGACGAATCATCATCGAGCAGTTTGTGATAAACGGCTCTGATTGGACGACTGATTCTCCAGCAGATGTCCTGACGTGAGCTCGTCCCGCCGAGCGTCTCCGTCTCGTTTACGGACCACTGCGTCGCTCTGAGGAGCTGAATGACCTCCAGCTGCTGCTCTGATTAGAATTTGGGGGTTCGGTGAGAATTTAAGTGAAATGTTTCGACTACGTGAGCAGAAGTCGGCTCCCGGTGCTGCTCCCGGTTTAAAACGTTAACATCTAAAGCTCTGAATCTGTGCAGGGTCTCCAGAACCTCCTCCTGGATCGGGTCCGAATCAAGTCCCAGGTTGTTGTTGTTGTTGTTGTTGTGATTGTTTGTTTGTTTGTTTACAGATCTGTCCGTGCCTTGGCGGCTGCCGGGGCGTACTTGGGCATGAGCTCCGTGATTTTGCGGATGAAGTCGGACTTCTCGGCGCAGCCCTTGCAGGACTCGCCCCACTCCTCCAGGATCTTCTTCAGGTCCTTCACTTTGAGCTTCTTCAGGTCCACCGTGGTCAGGTCCAGCTGTTTGTCTGGAAACGGGAGAAAACAGAACCGGTCAGAACCGAACCAGGCTCCTGGACACTTCCTGGGACTCAAACGTTAACACTTTGTAACAGCTCAGTGAAGAACATCAGCTCTCACTGGATGGATGTGAGGAGATGTGATGATTTTTAGACGATTCCTGATCAAACAAACTATTTTAAAGGAGCCTGTGGTCCAGCTGTTTCTGACCATCACCGATAACGTCTACAAGCCGCTCACTGGTTAAACTCCTCACCTACTGGACGTCTGTTTATTGTCAGATGCCACAATTCACCGATGTTCCCTGAACGCCTCACAGGCCCGTTACAGTCGGAGCTGCTCAGTGACAACAGGAACAAAACGGTGTGACGTCACGTTTACGGAGGTTTCTACGAGCAGAGTTCATCGTAAACGTCGACACTGAAGCCGATCGTGTTCATTTATAAACAGAAAGCCGATTAGTTCTCATTTAATCCTGCAGCTCTGGTTCTGAGCTGTAGTTTTTCTCCTGAGTTGGATTTTTCTCCTCGTTTCGGTTGACGAAGGAACAAAACACCAACTCTATGAGGTCTCCCCCTACCAGCTGTACAGGATGTGGTCAGCCTCCTAAACAAGCTGTGGAACCTGCAGCAGCAGACAAACGGATCGCTGCAGGTCCCGTTCAGGCGGGAGGAACCCGAACCAGCTGCTACCAGAACAACAGGAAGCTCCAACTCCCATCACTCAAAGCATGGAGCATCTGCAGCCGCTGGTGCATAAAGAATTTTAAAAAATAGACTTAAAGCCTTAAAAAAAGCTTCAGGTCACGATGTAGTAAAGTAAAGACGCTGGTTGTGATCATGTGGACCTCTAGTCCAACAAACACTCACCGAATCATCTCAACACATTTAAGGAAAAACTGTTTAGTCCACAGAGTCTCGTACAATCATCATCATCATATTTCATACGTCTGTACTCGTCACTGAACCTCTTAAATAAATAAAACATGGTGAAAACATCTCAGACAGACACGGCATCCTGATTTCCTTCGTACCGTATTTCAGCTCACAGATCTGGCTGTCCTTCTTCTTGAGCTTCTCGCAGATCTTCTCCACGGGAACGTGGTAGCTGAGCGGCTTGGAAACCTCGTTGATTATCTTGGTGGCGGCGTCGCTCGTCGCTCCGATGTAGTAGCACTGGAAGCAAACAGAAACAAATCCGTCACTCATGTCAGCTGCAGCTACGCCTTCAGAAGCACCGTGAACACGTCAGACAGTCAGCGCTGGTGTTGCCGAGCGGCTGTGAGCTTTAAAAACCAGACATTCGTACAGTCTGAGGAGGAACTGGTCGGATTCCTGCGTCTATTTAACAACTAGACTCAACACGGTCAGCAGCAGAGTTTGTACTTTGTGATAGTTTTCAGGACAAACAGAAAGTAATTAATAACATTAAACTAATCACGTTTATATTCTGTGGTAATAAAAATGTAAATAAACACAAACAGCAGAAGAAATCTTGAGAACAAACCACTTCATAAACACCAACGTTGTGATGAAATCTCACTTTACAGCAGAAACCTGAACGCAGGACTTTTTCTTTTCACGTATTTTCACTGAGGCAGTTTCAGTTAAACATCCGACGCTCCGACATTCATCCACAGAAAGTTTCCTTCTAAAGTCAACAGTTTACGCTCCTCAATAAAAACTGGTATCTGAAACCCGCCGCCTCCCTCCACAGCCCAGAAACGCTCGGTTTACTCACGAAGCGGTTTTCTTTCCCTTTGGCGTCTTTGCAGCTCTTCACGATGGCCTTCTCGATGTCGGCGCTGTTGAAGTTGACGCCGTCGTCCTTCAGCGTCTGGTAGAACTTCCCCAGGAAGGTGACGCACACTGAAACAGAGCAACAGCACGTTAAACAACTCGGACACGTAGCAGCTCAACAACGTGGTCACCGAGCTTCGCCGTGGTTGGTGGTTTGTTGACTGCTTTCTAACGTGTTGATCTAGTTGATTAAAATGAAGGGATGAAGCAGCATCATCATCATCATCATCATATCAGGTGATGAAGGTGTTAAAATTTTGGCATCAAACTGAAAGTCAACCCATCAGGCTCAAAGTTTACGGTTTAGTTTGAAAACCTGATTGTTTTATATGAAAGTTGACAGTTTTCTTGTTTTGTTTTTATTTTCCTACATTTCCTCGTATTTCATCCACCAGCAGGACAACAACATGTTCACTATCAAACACAATCAGATGGTAAATATCTGCAAAAACCCAAATGGTGCAGACGTCCTGATGCTCTCTGAACTTCTATCCGTCCTCTAATATTAGTAGTGTGAGGATAAATCTGGTTTATTTACATCCTCCACCCCCGTCACAGAGACAAAAATGGGAACTGAGGCTGAAACAGAGAATATCAGGGCAAAAGAAATCATCTTTTCTGCACATTTACCCCCAAAAACTCAGATTATTACGTGAAGCTACAACTAACTGTGGCTTTCTTCTCTTAATGTTTTTATCTTTTACTTCACTTATTGCTGTATTTTTACTTTCACATAGATGTTGCTCTTGTGTTACTGCACTTATTCAGCTTTTTCTTACAAAAATCAGGACCTGAGCACTAATGTCGTACCACTGACGTGTGAATGTGAGCTGACAGGACAAATAAAGCTCCTTGAAACTTTTTCTGTTTTTCATTCAGACTCAAAGGAAACGAAGACACGACCCACGTGGACCAGACGCTGTGTTCACCGCGGTAGAGCTTCCTGATCACAGACGTGTTTGTCCACCGGTCGGTTCAGACGCCACCTGGTTAAACTAAACTGGATTTATCTTTTTCTAGAAAGAAGCTGGAGAATTAACTGCTCCTGAGACGTTTGACAAGAACCGATCACGTCATTGATCAACACTGAGCACAGGCTTCTACCCATCTGGTCGGCTGCACAATAAAGAAACGATTTTAACCAAAAACACCAGAAACAAGGTGAGATCTCTGTGTTTAAAATAATCTTACAGTGCACCTGGAATAAAACAAAACGCCTCCAGAACTGCAGCAGGTGATTCTACTAACCGTAAAGTTTAACTGGACGCCGGCGCTGGAGGAGTTCAGGCTGCAGTCAGTGAGTATGGTGTTGATTAATGGAGCCGTTTTATCTGCCCTCACAGCCGGAGTGATCGGTTTTAATGCACAGAAGAATCCAAAATAACCAGCAGCAAAATCATAAGAAACTAGAATAAACCCAACAAAACTCATCTGTCAAGCAGCTTTGCTAACTGGGGTTTGATTCACTTGAGCGTAGCTGATCTTTTCTGTTTGTTAAATCGTCTGAAATAAAAGATTTCTGTCAAAAAAAGCAACAGAAACTCTTCCATGTTTGCCGTTTTACACAGTCGCCTCCCAACAGGCCAACTCTGACCCGAGACAAACCCCGAAGGCGTCTTTAAGTGACGAGTTTTGTCCGTTAAAAAGTCAAACACCATTTGAGGAAACAGATCCAGCAATCGTTTTGTAAATACGCCTAAAAAAGAATCAATTAAATCTGATTATTATCAGATAATTGGTGGTTAACCAATCAACTGCCAAAGACGGCGGCTGAAGCGCTCTGTCCGCTCACAGCGTTTTATTTAATTACGCGTTAATCGTGTGTTTTACGTTGACAGGAACTCGGTGCCGGTCCACGTTGTGCAGGAACATGTGTGTTACATAAGGAGGGTATAAATAGAGACGCCTCGGGCTGAAGGGCGACTTCACAGGAGACGCAGACGACAAGAGCTCGACATGTTAGACCTGAAACTAGAAACCAGGAGGAGTGTTTCCTCCTGTTCGCAGCCAGTAAAGTGATCCAGAGGGTTTATTAAATAACCGTCAACAATAAAGAACGCATCAGCTTCAACATGACTCTACTGGAGGGACCAGCACCACTCCTCCTAAAGCTCCTCCTTCATTCGGAGTCTTGATGTCCCGTTTACCAGTCCTAGCGTAGCATTAGCATCATGTTACGCTCCAGACTGACCGGTTGGTCCATCGATCAGGAGAAAGGCTCCATATCAACATCTGCATCAGGATTAATCCATTATTGTTGGCGGTGGGAGGAACAGACCACCTGTGAACACCCCCACGTTCTCACTACGTCCACCTGGACCAGAACGACGGCGGCTGCTCGGCTTCAATGATAACAAACGACGAGATTAAACGAGTCAGAAGTCGTCGGTGTGGCGGCGTTCAGCTCAAACTGTCGCCTTCATCTGGATGATTTATTGTTGTGGTTGGTGCAAACGAACTCAAAATCCAGAAACAATTACAGAAAAAGAAAACATGTTCATCAAATAACAAACATATCGCAGGTTTTTAGAGTAGAAATTTCAATCAACGTGAAAAAAAGTCGATCTGACGCCCCAACGTTGGCTGTTTTTTGTCTAAAATCTGTTTTATCGCCTCAGTCAGAACCCAGAATGTGGATCTTTGGTTCCGTCCAAACCAGCCGTGGATCTTTTTGGATCTTCTCTCTTAATCATGTGACGTTCACCAGAAGAATTAGTTTGAAAAAAACCCTCTAGAGTCATAAAAATACCAAACAATGAAACCTTGAGTCGACAAGGAGGCTTGAAACTCAGTCGGATGTTTACTGGATGTGTGACGATGAGATTTAAACGGGACGCTGCTTCGTTACTGAGACGTTAATCAGTCGGTTATTCTCTCTGATAATCAATTAGATGTTCGGCCTTTAAAACGTCAAAAAAAACTGTGAAAGTTGTTTTCCGGAGCTAAAGATGACAAAAGTGTTGTTTCGTCTTAAGATGTTCAGTTTAGAGTCACAGAGCCGAAAAGAAAAATGAATATATTCACATTAAGAAGCTGCAATCAGAGAATCTAAAGGGTTGATTTGCTCTCACAGAGAACAATCGATTATCAGAACGATTTGGTGATTAATGAATCGTTGACAACCGAAGCTGTGTTCAGTGAGACGTCACAGAATTCAACTTAACGCGTCTTTTAGTGTCGTACTGGGGCCAGAAAACCAGTAAAGACAATAAAATCCAGATAAAACTGCATTCAATGTACATTCTGGTCACAATGTTCCCAATAGAAGAACCGGTTAAGTGACCTGAACACAGACAGGAGGGAAAACAGTCCGTAAGCATCGTGATGGATCCTGTTTAGAGAGAAAACGCTGATGTCGTCTTTATATCATCTGAAATTATTCATTACAGGAACATAAAGTACAAAATAACCCTAAAAATTCACCTGACACGTTTCAGTATTACGGCTGAGACACTTTAAGACGACAGAAAATAAAACATCATCTCACTGAGTTAAATAACATCAAAATCCTACAATAATATTAATTCAGAATAAATTCTGCTTTAAACCTTGATGTCTGGACCACGTGATATTAAATATAGAATACAATAAATAGACAAACCTCACAGTAAACACAGATAATCATTAATCTGACTCCCTGCGTTTATCAAATTAAATAGAATTTACTACAGATGTTGTGGAAAATAATGAATTTTAACGGTAAAGCGACGGAACCGTTCCTCCCACGGTCCATTCAGGAGTAATGAACCCAGACTGGAGGTTCGCAGGTTGATTCTGGAACTTTTCGGGCTCTGTTTATTGGACCGGGACCGGACCGGGGACCTGTACCTCCGGTGAACCTGCTGTCTGCTGGGCTGCTCCGCTGCTCTGACTCACGGCTCCGCGCTGCTCGGACCGTTCACGGTTTTATGACCGAACGGCGGTAACGTAGCTGGACGAGTCCAGTTCGGAAACACGGTAGAAACACCATTTAAACGCATCGTACCGTCCGCGGTGCCGTGCGGCGGCGCCGGGCTCCGCGTTAAGCCGCTAAACGAGCCCCTTTCTGTGTGAAAAGTTGCCGGAGCTAGCAGCCGGAGCTAACCGGAGCTAGCACCGGGACCTACCTTCACACTCGCCCTCCCTCAGGGCTTCGGCGGGTCCCGGCACCAGGGCGAGGGCGAAGGCCACCGACAACCCGCTCAGACACAACATCTCGGCTGGAGTAGAGTCACAGTTCCGTCCGTTAAACCGCTGCCTAGCACCGACTCGTCGCACTCATGGGTCGCTGCCGCCTCAGCACGGACAAACGCCGGTAAACTGAGCGACCGTACGGGCTTCCCGTTGCCACGTCACAGCCGTGCCGCCGCCTCATTGGCCAGCAGGCCTCGCTACTTCCGCAGTCCTCCACGCATTGGCCTCTGATTGGACGGGGAGTCAGCGTTCCGGGGACAACGTCCAGTTGGCGCCGTCTGATTGGTCCACAGCATCACCGAGGTCTGATTATGTATGTCAGCGGCAGACGAATTGTCAACGGAGTGAAATGAGTGTAAATAAATAAATACAGAAATAAATAAACTGTGGAAATGATAAAGGACGCAATGTAACAAGCCTCTTGAATTTATTCCTACATTTCTTTATTTCAGTTTTTATGAAGGGTATCTCTGTATTTCTTTCTTTTTTTTGCAATATAATAATAACAGTAGTAATAGTCGTTTAATTTTGTATTTCTTTTTATTTTTTTTATTTCGTTGATAGCTTTAGTTATTTATTTATACAATATTTATTCATTTAATTTTGTATTCATTTTTATTTATTCAATTTTTTTGTTTCTTTAGTTATTTATGTATACAATATATATTCCTTTAATTTTTTTTATTTATTTGTATTTATTTTCTTTTTTTTGATTTCTTTATTTATTTCCACAATATACATTCCTTTATTTTTTTAAATATCTTTTAATTAATTTCTTTATGTATTTCTTTAGTTTTTTTCTGTATTTCTATATATACATTTCTATATTTTCTTACATATTTTTTTTTCCAGCTACTTCTTTATTTCTACATTTATCTGCCCTACATGTGTTTGTTTTTATCACTTTATTGTGGACACAAATTATTTATTTATTCCTTTAGTTAACATGTCTTCATTTCATTGTCTGTAATTTATCTCTACATGTATTATTGCTTTATTTCAGCTTTTATTTATTGTTTATGTGCACACAAATGTATTATTACTCGATTAATTTATTTGTTTACTTATTTATTTTTACTTGTTTATTTATTTCTACGTATCATTGTATCAACTTCTAGTATTTATTCCAATATTTTGACACATCTGTCCTAAATTATTTCAGTTGCTTTATTTAATTAGTTTTATGATTTATTAGCTTATTTTGACATTTACTGATTTTTATATTTAATACCTATTTCTGCATTTTTCCATTAATTTTTATATTTATTTTGGGTTTTTTAAATTTATTTAGACATTTTGTTCTCCACATATTTCTATATTATTTCTATTTCTACAAATGCCTATATGTATTGTTGTGTATAATATATCTATACACAACAATTGCTCATATTTATTTCTGTATTTATTTAGGTATTTTTTAGATTTATTTCAATATCTCTGTATTTGGTCTTCATTCCTCTGAGACAAATGTGGCTGCCTGATAATAAACATGCACTTTTCTAATGTACATCTTGTATCTGACTTTCATTCTACTTGTTAGTTTGACCCGATTAATGCTCAGATTGCAGCTTCTCCAGAGTGAATGTCTTCTGGTTTCTGTAAACTGAACAAGATTATCAACAGACCAAATAACTGAGACAAGACGAACTGACAACGAACTCGATGGCACATTTTCCAACAAAAACGTCTTTATTGAGTGAAATGAAATCCAGACGGTGACTCTCGAGGTCACGACACCACAAACAGAACCACACTTGGCGTTACAAGTTTGCATATTCCTACTGCAAGACCTCGCACCAAGAGCTTTGGCAACTTCATTTGTAAACTGAAAGATTAAGAAACAAACAAACTGATCAGTAGAGCACAAACGAGGAGGGGCTGTAGTCCGACTGACGAGAGACGGTCGAGTGTTTCTGTCGGCTCTTGTAAGACGAGGGACTGGAAAACAGTTAGACCTGGTTAGATCAGTTAAACTCCAGCTGGAGATTCACTCGGATTCATTCTTCTAGCTGCTGCTGACATTCTTCTTCCCTCAACAGAAAACAAAAAACCTCTTTACTGTATTACTTCCTTATCTGATATAATAATAATAATAATAATAATAATAATAATAATAATAATAATAATAATAATAATAATCATCCTCTGCCTCTAAGTGTACATCATCTCTGCCATGTGTGACATCTTCTTGGGGATGTATAGATAATACTCCATGTAGCCAGAAAGGTCCTCTATCGTGATGTCGTCCACGTAGGCTCGCGCCTGCTCCGAGCACGAGCGCGGGGAGCCCGACGACGAGGACGACGAAGGCGACGAGGCTGCGGCGGCGGTACCGCTCAGAGTTCTGTCCTCGTGGCTCGGCAGGTTCCTCTCGCACTCCGAGATGACGTTGCGGAGCCCCGTGAAGGAGTACACCTCGACGCCCTGCCAGCCCCGGTGACCGGCTCGGCACCGGCACCCAGACTCCGCCCCCTGAGCGCTCTCCTCCGGGGAGCAGGAGCAGGGGGCGTGGCCGCCGTCCGCAGAGCCGCTGCTGTGGAGCTCGGACAAAGCCCGGAAGTCGGCGGCCTCTGCGGGTCCGTCTCTCCGGGGTGTCGCTGCTCCGGGCTCGGCTCCATTGCAGGCACTTTTCTCCGGACCGCCCTCCTCGCTCGGCTCTCCGGAGCTCCTCCCGTCCGGCCCGGAGGGCGTCGCGACAATGACGGCGGGGATCTCGGGAACCACGCCCCCGATACGCGTGTCATCACCAGCACGAGACCCAAACACCAGCGGGGAGATGTGGCCCGGCGTGACCGAAGACGAGAGCTCTTTCTGGGCCGGGGAGGCCAGCGAGGGGCCGGGTAGTCCATCAGGACGAGGCTCGGCCGGGTCGGGCACGGCCAGGCGCTGGTGCTTCAGGCAGCCGCTAGGGGGCGACAGGGCAGCAGCCGTGGCCGGGCTGCAGTACGTGAACTTCGGGGGGTGAAGGATCGGAGACTTGGACCTCCGGCGCCGCTGAGTTCTGGAGGCTCCTCTGGAGGTTTTCCTCATACAGCTGCAGATGGAGTGATAAAGAAGAAGCATGAAGCACTGCAAAGTATGAAGAATAAAACTCTGAGCAGGTTCTGGGGTTTTTAGCTCCTGTCACTGAGGTCCATGTTTGTCTGCTACATAAAGTTGTTGCTGCTGCTGTCTGGCCGAGCTGGACCCGCTAACCTACCCGTGCCAGTTGTCCTTGGGGCAGCCCAGCTTGGGCTTGGCTCCGCTGGTCTCCAGACCGACTCGTGATGGCGCTCTGGGAGTCAACGCCTCCGAGACGCTCACAGCTCCGGGTAAACTGGAGGCACAAGTTCAAATAAAACACGTAAACTTGAAGGAAGCGCTGAAATCTGAGAACAAGCTGCAGCTGCACACGATAAGTTCAGTGATCAGGTCTCCACAGGAAGGCTTTACACTGGCTGCAAACATGAGAATAAACTTATTATTTAGGTTCAAGGGTTCTCCTGCATGCTTTGGCGCTGCAGTAGAAACAGCTACTGCGAAAGCCTTTTGTGTCTCAGAACGTCCACGAGTATCTTCCTCATATGTTGTGAACTGGCGCTACATAAATAAAAGTGAATTAAATTAATATGGTTGCATAAATAAAGACAAGAGCTCTGGTTGCACATAAAGCAGGTTTGATACACGTTTGCAGATAGATTCTGTGGATTTACTCGGGCTGGACCTGAATAGCCGACTATTTGTTTGCTGTGCTGGAGTCGGGATATCAAACTTGATCTCCGGCTGTAAACGTAAAACACATTAAAGGAACATTTATGATCCAGGAACTGTGGAAGGACGTTCACTCTGTTTTATCTGTTAAAACAACATTTTTTGAGAAGATCTTTTTCATTAAAACACCAGAGTTCTGTTAATAATTTCAGTATTTCTGTATAAAATCTGCCTGTTGTCGCGCTGAAGGACTCCGGATCTAAACCATAAATCTGGTCCCTCCTAGACTTTGGAGACCTTTTGCCGTCTTTTGATTTGTTTGCTGGTCCCTGGAGGGAAACATCTGTTGTTCTACTGTGTTCCTGTACGAGATGGATTTATTTATTTCATGTTTATAGGAGAGATGGTGAAGCATGAAGCGCCGCCACACGCTACCTCATCTACAACCACAGGACTGATCTGTCTTCAGCTGCCTCAGTGTGAAATGATCTAAATATGGATCCTTTTTTATTTACTAGATTTATTAAATAAGCGGCTTCAGAGTTGAGTTTTTCTGTTTCTTTAGTTCCTGAGGCTTCGTTTACCTCTCAGCGTCGACCCGGAGCTTCTTGAACGCCGACTGCAGCGTCTCCTCCTCGCAGTCCTTCCCTCCTGCCTCCATGGTGGGAGGAGGACGCTCTGACCAGCCACCCAGCTGCACAGCAAACACACAACGACAAGAGTGAACAACACGGATTCTAACGACCACGAGAGGCGACCAGGACGCCGTCGCCCCCGTCAGGAGGCTCAACGGCTGGACTGATCAGTGAGAATAATAAAATGAAGATCAGAGTTGCAGCTGTCATTAAAAACACTGATAAACTGAACCAGGTGGGTTTAGATTGTGGGTTTTAAAACAAGCAGAAACAGGATAACAGATAAAAACGTGTACATTTAAGAAACAGAAACAGATTTGTAACTGCTGAAAACATGAACGTCTGAAGATTTATGTCATTAATAAGAGAAATATTTGACTGAAAGAAGTCGTCGTCAAAAATACTGCATCAGAAAATTAACCAAGAACTATTTTGTTGATCGAATATTTAATTGAACCATTTTTAGGCAAAAACATCAACAGTTATTTGGCTATACAGCAACAGATTATATAAATTTGGAGTTGTAGGCAACAGTTAGTCACAAAACTAGTCTTAAATTACTTTGAGTCATTTTTAAAATTAAAAATGTCTTAATTCTGTGATTGCAGCTTCTTCTCTGTGAACATTTTCTGGTTTCTTTTCTCCTCCGTGACAGCAAAATGAATATTCTGGGAGCAAATCGAGACATTTTTCACCATTTTTCTGACTTTTACAAACCAAACTATTCAATTAATGCAGAAAATAATCAACTAATTAATAAACAATAAAAATAATTGATTGAAGTCCAACAGAACAAGACATCTCCCTGAGAAGTGGCACATTTCAGAGCATTTTTTCTGTATTTTTTTCCTCACATTTTAAACTAAACAAATAAACTATTCCAGCAAATACCGGCCAAAATAACTGATGATAAATAATAATAGTTTGTTGCAGGATTATTCACTTAAAGTCACAAGAGACCAAAGAAAGCAGCGAGTTCTCACATGTGAGAGAAACTTATCTGAATAATAATAATAATAATAATAAATCAGAGCAGCTCCAGCCGGTCGGTGCTGAATGTTCACCACACCTCAAACTAAATCACATTTCATCATCGTTTGTTTAATTATTGAAGCAAACATGTCGACCGTCTGCAGCACCTGGTGTTGGTTTGAAACAAGACACGTAAAACGTGACCTTCAGACATCTGCAGAACATGTTTAGTCATTTAATAGACTAAATGATTAATCAAGGAAGTGATCAGCAGATTAATCAGTAACGGAAACCCGTTCTGCATGTGTCAAGGTTCAAGATCATCTTTATTGTTTAATGACGGGGATTTATTCTGCTGCACGGTGGATCGGTGGTTAGCACCGTGGCCTCACAGCTAGAAGGTCACCGGCTGGCGTCCTGGTGAGGACACCCGGGATCGTTCTGCGTGGAGTCTCCATGTTCTCCCCGTGCAGCGTGGGTTCTCGCCGGGTTCTCCGGCTTCCTCCCAAAAACATGTTGAGGTTAATTGGTGATTGTAAATTGTCCATAGGTGTGAATGTGAGTGTGCTTGGTTGTCTGTCTCTAAGTGTAGCCCTGTGATAGACTGGTGACCTGTCCAGGTGAACCTGCCTTCACCCTGAGTCAGCTGGGATAGACTCCAGCCTCCTCAGTGAGGATTAAGGTGTACAGATAGATCTCTACTGATGGAAGAATCTGTGCAACATCAACAGAACTTATGCATCTTCCTTGTTTGTCTGTATTCTCTCCTGACATTCGCTTTAATTCTCCCTTTGCTGCACATTTCCTCGCTGTGGGATTCATAAAGGATTAACTTTTCTGATCTTAAAGACGCAGTCAGATTCCCATCGAGCGTATTGATCTCATTAAACGTAGAGCGTCGGTTAGAGACCTCAGTAATTCAGTTTAGTCTGAATAATAGCTGCAGAGATCTCAGACATCATTGTTGTGATGATGCTGTTGATTATTGATTGAACAGCGTTGGCAGAAGTGATCAGACGGTCAGAGGATGAAACAGGACGAGCTCATCAGGACGAGTTTGTGGGAAACAGGAGCTTCGTTCACCAGAGACTTGTGGTGGAACGTCACCAGAACCCTGGCTTCAGGTCGCTCAGACATGAAGGTAAACTGGCTGTCGTAGTGACACGGACGTTATTTAAAACACATCTTTTATACGCGTGTCGTCCTTGTTGTCAACATCAACACAGTTCTAGGTCGCTGTAGGAAAACTCCTTCCGGGATGAAGACACCTGGAAGCTCAGCTACACTATCGCTGCAGTCTGTGGCGTCAGTGTTAGCTCCTGTGTTTACATCACGTGTGACGCTATTCTGAGCAACAGCCATGACAGTGCTAACGCTGACTTAGCTAACAGGACGTTTTTATTCACACATAAATGCAGTTATTCTTCCAAACAACCGAATCAATCCAAACGCCGTTTAGATTGTTGGTAGCCGATCAGAACCAAAGCTCCTGATTGGCCGGTTTACGGTTACATCGCCACCTGCTGTTTCAACGGTGTTTCTACATTTCTATGTGGACGACGGAGATTTTTAATTTGAACACAAAAGAGGAAAATCCTGTTTTAACAAAAATACGGACGAGGCCGCAGCAGCCTCCGACGTCGTCACTGCAGAACTCTGCATCCGAGTCAAAAGTCCAGAGTCAGCTGTAACTGCAGTCAGAGATCTCTACGACACAACTAGAACCAGTTCAGACTTAATTTAAGATTTATATTATTAACAACATAGATACGGTGAACTAGAATTATGACAACTCAGAATTAAACTGCAGATTTCTGAAACTGGAGAAAGAACGCGTCAGAATTCAGTCTGAGTGTATGAGTACAAACATTGGGTTTAAGATTTTGGTTTGGGTCTTCAGGTTTGCATGTAGACCTCACGTCTGTGTTTCTTCCTCAAACATCCACCTGCCGTTAGTTTGGTCCGCGCACACAGAGCTGCTGCTGCTTCGTAGTTCTGACAAACGCAGACTGACCACAGCCTGAACACGAGGGTTTCTCAGGTAACCTCGAATCCAGCGGATCAGACGAAACCTGTACGTTGGCTTTGTCTACCTGCCATCAGGTGTGTGGCTGGTTGTTCATCCAGCTTCCTGTCTCATGTGACAGAGCATCACCCGAACGTCAGCGTATGAGAGAAAAGTGAAAGTAGCTCTGACCCAGTAGCTGGTGGCACCTAAACAAGACGAGGACCGTAGAGGGACAAACCCACCACAGATGTTTTACAGCATTCACTACACAGTTAAACCACTGAGTTCTGCAGCATAAAGGAGATTTATTCTAATATTTCGTGTGTATTTGAGAGAATATTCATGTCAGTTCATTTATTTAGTAATGGTTGTTTGTTTACTGGACAGTTCAAACAGGATTAAACTGTTCTGTTGATATAAATCAGTTGTTTCATCACAAAAAATAACGAAACAAGAAGGAGCTTTGTTGTTGTTGTTTTTGAAATGTACCAGAAATCTTCCAAACCGTGATTTTAGTTGAATCACACACATCTAGAACTTGGCTGCTAATATTTCCCAGAGCAGAACTGCAGATATTTATGAAGCGTAACGTGTCAAAGTGATGTTGGCAGAACCAAGATGTGGAAACCTGAAGTGTTGTTTACGACCCAGAGGTTCTGGTTTCTGTCCGGAACACTCGGACAAACTGAGCCGTTAGACGTTAAAGCTGTTTGCCACACAAGTCTGTCCTCCTCTGATGTTTATTCACATTAATCCTCCAACAGAACCGAGCTGCTCAGCCTGTAAACACTGGATGTCGTAAGCACTCACACCCTGTTAGCCGCTGCTAGCATGCTACGTTAGCGGCTATGCTAACTGGCTAATTGGACGCAGTTCAAAACGGTTTCGAACGGATTCAAAGTCCTTGTAAAATGAAGAAGGTGGTACTCACGGTTCAGGATAACCGGGCCGCGGTGGGGAGAGGGAGATACCCGGGGCATGCGGGGTGGCTCCCCGGAGGTGGCCCTCGGATGTTGACTAGCCAGCGAGGCTAGCAGGCTAGCTCCTGATGCTAGCTCCAGAGGCTAGCTCCCAGCGACGGTCTCCGCGAAAACACGAATCGAACCTCCGGTAACGGAACCGTTCACGGACACTCGGATCAGCAAAATAAGTCACGTTTCAACAGCAGAAGTGAGCACCGTGGGGGAGCAGCGGGGCCGTGGTCAAGGCCCGGTTCTGGGCTCCGGTGCTGCCGCTTGTTTACAGTCGAACCGTCGCAGTGACTCTGCAACAACGCAGCCCGCTGACGTCAGCGGCCAAAAAAAGCCACGCGCACGTGACCGAGCGACGTTTATTATTTTTAGTGATCAGAAATGAAACCGGATTAAAGCCACGGCGCGGACACACAGACGGAGACACAACACGAGCCCCGCGGTTCTGATTCTGGTTCTGGTTCCGACCGACGGGCTGCGGGCCGCGGACGGAGCCGTGAGTCAAGGATTACATCAGTGTTATATAACAGCAGCGGCCTCAGAGGAACAAAGCTGAGCACAGAAAATCACATCCAGATGAGAAACGCTCTCTCTGCTGCCACAGAACCAGAACCAGAACCAGAGGCCTGAGACACGAACCATGCAGACAGACTGCTGTCAGCCAGAGAAAGCTGCTTCACAGGAGAAGAGTTCAGGGCAGAATCAGGCCAAATGCTTTATTTTTATTCTAAGCTGTCCAATGACAACAAGGGGAACCTGTTCCGAGCTGAGTTTTGTTCCTGCATAAACACATTTATTTAAACTGGGCGACAAACAGCAATAAAATCCTTCTTTCTCCACAGCTGCAGTGAAGTTTCTCCTTCCAATGACAGGATGAACTTCCTCATGTTGAACACCAGGGGGCGTCATCATACTGCGATGGGAATAAAGGAGTTTTATTTTGTTCTATTCTGGTTTTATCTCTGTAATGCTCTGTAGACATATTTCATAAAACTGGACGATAAATACGAATAAAATTAACTGCAGTGAAGTTTTGGTGCATTTCCCTGCATTGAACACTAGGGGGAGTAGTCCAAATATTCTGCCAACACGTTCCCAGTGGGTGTTGGACTCCGCCAGGGCTGCCCCTTGTCCCCGATCCTGTTCATGGTCTTCATGGACAGGATCTCAAGGCGCAGTCAGGGAAAGGAGGGTGTCCAGTTTGGGAACCTCAGACGACGTGGTACTGCTGGCTTCATCAGACCGCGACCTTCAACAGACACTGGAGCGGTTTTCAGCCGAGTGCGAAGCGGCAGGGATGCGGATCAGTACCTCCAAGTCCGAGGCCATGGTTCTCTGCTGGAAACCGGTGGATTGCCTCCTCTGGGTGGTGGGGGGGAGTTGCTTCCTCAAGCGAGGGAGTTTAAGTGTCCCGGGATCCTGTTCATGAGTGATGGGAAAATGAGCGTGAGATGACAGGCGGCTCGGTGCGGCGTCTGAACCGGACTGTCGTGGTGAAGATTTACCAGTCCAGCTACGTCCCAACCCTCACCGATGGTCACGAGCTTTGGGTCGTGACCGAAAGAACAAGATCGCAGATACAAGCGGCCGAGATGAGCTTCCTCCTCAGGGTGTCTGGGCTCAGCCTTAGAGATAGGGTGAGGAGCTTGGAGATCCGGAGGGAGCTCGGAGTAGAGCTGCTCCATCGCGTCGAAAAGAGCCAGTTGAGGTGGTTTGGACCCCTGGTAGGGATGCCTCCAGAGAGGCTTCCTCTGGAGGTCTTCCAAACACGTCCACCTGGGAGGAGACCCCGGGACAGACCCAGAACCCGCTGGAGGGATGATATCTCTGGGCTGGTCTGGGAACTCCTCGGGATCCCCCAGGAAGAGCTTGAAAGCGTCGCCGGGGGGGAGGGAGGTCTGGAATGACCTGGTCCACCTGCTGCCTCTGCGACCTCACCCCAGATAAGCGGAAGATAATGAATGGATGGATGGATGGATGGATGGATGGATGGATGGATGGACTGCCAACATCATATTTTATAAACCTACATCCCTCTCAATATTCAGACACCTCTCTTCAATAAAAACACAAACTCCTAACACAGAAGACGATAAAAATGCCACTGTGGTGCAGACACGTTTCTGTTTGTTTGTTTAATGTTATGTGCGCTGTGTGATGGGAATAAAGGAATTCTATTCTGTTGTTTTCTTTCACTGCGTTTTGGTCGCAGTGATGCTTAAGTCCGTCTGAGTCCTAATCCATCCAGTACTGAATGCATTTCCTCATATTGAACAGCAGGGGGCATCATGCGAATAACACACAGAGTTAAGGTACTTTTTAAACCTGCAGTCACAGGATGGACACGTCTCCTTCACCCCGTCCAATAAAAACACATTAAAAGACTCCTCTTCCTTAAACTAAAGACAGAAAGCTGTCGACGGACACGTAGACGTTGTTAAAACGACTTTGCTGAATAAACACAGCAGCTACATGTTGAGCAGAAATCTGAACCTGAATAAAATTTTACTCCAAACTCGTTTGTAATTTTGCGAAACAGCGACGGAAAATCAAGCCGGCTGCTGAGACACGTTGACTAAAGCTGATTTACTCACATTTTAATGTTTCTTGTATTAAAAAAAACGAAGTTTGACGCTGCAACAGCTTCGTGTTTCAGTTTGTTTTATTACAATAATACTGCAGCAGATAAATGTAATCCTAGTGCCAGAAACACAGACAAACTAGTGAGTGGTTTTATTAGAATAAACTACTGTAAAATCTCATATCTAATGTATGTGCTTTCTGGTGGCCACAGATTTCAGTTTCTTCTTCAAAAAAGGTTTACAGGGGTTTAAAAAAAGTCAGAAATTTTATTCAAAAAGGACCTAAATGGTTTGATTTCTTGAAAAAAGTCACTTTAATGTCGAGGGACGTCCTGCATAACAAAGAAAATCTCCATTTCTCTTGTTCCAGGTAATTTAAAATCCTTTAAACCTGTTTTTTGTTTTGTTTTTTAATCCGTCCTTTGTCTGCTGATGGTCACATCTATTAATTGTTAGTATTTATTGTCCAGAGCCATGAAGGAGAGACAACAATGTGACATAAACATCAACAAATTCATGCATTTGGTTCATAATTCTAACTCATATGTCACAGCATCAGAGGGAATGCTTTGATATTTGATAAAGACTCGACATCCTTTTCCTGAAAACAGGCCTCGGTCTGCAGCGCATCAGTGGAAATCGTCCACCAGGAGGCAGCATCAGCTTTAGTTTTCAGCGTCTCTCTGCAGCGCTGCAGGTTTGACTTTCCTGGAGGACCCTGAGCAGTGAGCTGGGTGTGTCTCTGTTTCTGCAGAGATGAAAAAGATCCAGACAACAAACACTGAGAGAACCAAAGTAATCAAACCTGTTCTGGACGACAAAGACGAGAAAACACAGCTGCCGTCGGACAACACCGTGATTTCTCAATCTGTGGATCTCACTCTGCAGCTTTAGCTGAACCAACACGAGCAAGCAGAGACGTTCACACATTGTTACGTACAGTTTGTTCTCTGCTTGCTGTTTACTTTTGATCCTCAGACGCTGGTTTTCTCCATTATATACATATATATTTACACATATTTATATTTCTTCTTGTCAAATTTTTCCAGAAAGATCAATAAAGTTTTATATTTGAATAAAGAAGTTACAGACAAACAAGTGAGACTTTCCTAAAAGTCAAACCTGCCCGGAGACGAAGCTAAACAGAGTCGGACGCTGACTTTTGGGAATAGAGATGGAAACAGAAACATGACAAGCAGACAAAAAGGACCACAAAGTGACAAAAAAAGACTTAAAAAGAACAGAGAAACACAAAACGACTACATAGAGACACAAAATGACCACAAAGAGACACAAAACAACTACAAAGAGACACAAAAT